TATATATATATATATATATATATATATATATATATATAATGACTATGTTTTGTAAAAGAGTCTTTATAAATGGTCTCTCCCTTTATCTTATATGCAAAAGACTGTCTTACAGCAATCCTTCTACTGAAGTTTGCACAGGATCAGTGACTCTCTGCATTATTGCTTAAAATACAACCAACTGATAGAAAAGTAAGGTATGGATAAAAAATATAGGTGTTCTATGCGATTCAGGGAAAAATAAATGAGGACTGATCAGGGCCCACCTAAACTTGGATATTTCCAAGTCTAACACCATCTGAATATCTGATTGATGGATGCACCATTTTGAAAGGTAGGCAGGATCCACAAGTTTGAGGCGTAAACTTATAATCATGTTCTAGCAGGTTACCCTCTCTCTCCAACACAATCGATCAGTCAATCAAACCATGTTAGGCCGGGAAATACAACAGCTCAGGTAGAACCAGGATCTACCTGATCATTCCTCAAAATAAGTATATCATATGGACTCAAAAAACTGATTTCTCTTATTTAAATGATCGAGAAGTTTGTTTTGTTTGTATGCCAAAGAGATGCATTGATAATATGAGAAAAGAAAAACTAAAGATAAAAAAAGATAAGGGGAAATAAAAAAAAAGGTAAAGTAAAAAATCAACTAATATATAGAGTAAACAGAACAATATATATTCAACTCATATTTAGAATAATCAAAACAATATTTACAAAACAAACCAAAACTCTTTCCTTCTGCTTTCAGGAAAAGGGAATGTATCTCTTTTGCTCAGCTGTTCTACAGGTAATTAGTTAGAGAAAGTAAAAAGGCTACATCAATCTTTTCACAGAAGGAAATTGTGCAATTTGCAAGTTTCTATCAGTTTCAACTATTAGCACTTGACATATAAACAAAATATCCAAATGTACAAAGTACCCAATAAAGCACATGAGATGCACCATGTAAATCCTTGTACTATATTAATACAAAATGAACTTTATTAAAAAAAAAAAAAGTTAGATTGATGGGCAAATAAAGAACAAGGAAATAAAGATTTTCGATTGCTTTCACATTTTCAGTTGGAATAAGGCTCGGATGATGATGATGATGAATTGCATTCACATTTTCAAAGAAGAGAGTAGAAGCAATATAAGCAAGATTAAATCCTGGTTCTCAAATTTGACAAAGAAACTTACTGAAAAAAGTTTGACCCAATAAAAAAAATAGACATGGAGAAATGGTGAAATCTCAACCTTGTTTGTGAGGTTATGCCAAAAACAAATATCCTACAATAAATTTCAACCATGGCCCATGGGTTTGCAAACACACGTGAACAAATGGATCAAATTCAAAACAGAGGAAAAGGAAAGCTCAAATCCTTCGAAAATTCGGGCCTCAGCAATCTCTGGGGTTTCTCTGAAGAAAAATGGACCAAAAAGAAAACTAACACCTATCCATTTCTCTCAAGCTTAAAAAATCAGCCAACTTTCGTGGTAACCATAACGGTGGATGAGTACTGAATCACTACTTAAGGCCACCCAATATCCTATCTAATTTGCACCAAAATTGGGTCCTTTCCCAAAAATCAGTAATAATTTTCGCTAAATTTAGCTTAAAGTGACCCCTTTCCCCCAATTTCAGCTGAATTTACAGCTCCTACACGACCAAATTCAATGCACAAAATGCTAATCTATTAAAAACAAGTCAATCAAAACCTTACCTGCCCAAAATCCGCTAATTTGACCTCCCCATCAGCCGAAACCAACAAATTCGAAGGCTTTAAATCTCTGTGCATAATAGAGCAACCATGGCATGCTTCAACCCCCTTCAAGACCTGAATCATCCATCTCTTCATCTCTGAAACCCTAATTCCTCCATTCCATTCCTTCTTGGCCTCTGCGATCAACCCATTTAAATCCATGGGTAGAAACTCGAGAACAAGAACTGGGTCATCATGATCTGACCAGAAATACTCAATAAGTTGAACAATGTTGGGTGCCCCATTTAGGGTTTGCAGAGCTTGAAGCTCTCTAATGGCAGATTGCTGGTCATGTATCTCTTTGAGGGCAACGATTAAGCCATCAAAGAGGCGTTTTGCTTTGTAAACATCCGAATAGGCGCCTGAGCCTATGCCATGGAGGATTTGGTAGCGCTGGGTGATAGCTGGGTTCGTGTGAATGCTCCAGCTTCGGGAGCAAGCTTCCATCGAGGTGAAAGTGGTGAAATATCGGGAGTGTCCCCAATAAATGAGTATGTTTGGCGCGCGCACGCACACAAAACGAGAGAGAGAGAGAGAGAGGTGCTTCCTTCCTACTGGAAAAAGTTTTTTTTGTAGAGAGAGAGAAAGAGATTCCTCCTGCAAGAGAAGGTCGAGAGATTCCTCCTGAAAGAGAAGGTTTTTATGTGGAGGGAGAAAGAGAGAGAGAGAGAGAGAGAGAGAGGGGTGCTCCCTTCTGAAAAAAAGGTTTTTAGAGAGAGAGAGATTCCTCCGCCTGAAAGAGAAGAGAGAGATTCCTCTTGAATGAGAAGAGAAGAGAAGAGAAGAGAAGAGAGAGAGAGGAGTAATGCCTCCTGAAAGAGGTTTTTGTAGAGAGAGAGGTAATAAAATTGAGAGAGTTTAGGTACAGAGAGAGAGAGGCGATAAAATTGAGGGAACGGAGGAGAATGACTAAAATGACCCTAAAGCCATGTTCGTCATATCCCATTCCAAACCTTTTTTTTTCTCACCCAAAAATCTCTCTTCCTAACCCTAAGTATTTTTCTTCCCCCTGAAAGCCCATCTTTCTCTCTCTCAGAGTCATGAGAGAGACTAGGAACCCATCTCCACTCAGGTAAGCAGGCCAGTTTCTCTCTCTAATATTTTCTCACCATTGCTTTCACTCTACGTTTAGAGACGTAAAACCCCCAGTTATCCTCCTTAATCACACATGCTGCTAACCCAGTTTCTCTCTCTACAAATGCTTTTCCATAAAGTTGAAATCTTTGTTTTCATACCCTTCTTATGGCAGCTTGAACCTAATCAAAACAACACCTCGGTTTCTGTCTATAGAAATGTTTTCCCATTAAGTTGATTTCTTTTCTTTCAGACCGTTCTTATGGCAGCTTGAACCCAATCAAAACAACACCTAGTTTTTCTCTCTCTCTCTCTCTTGACTCTGT